CGCTGTTGTTGTGCGCTCTGCCACGAATGCACACCACTGCTGTGGCCGCTGTTGTTGCTGCCGCCGGGAGATCCACCAAGCGAATTTTGACGCGAGCTCCAATCGGCTGGCGCGAGATAGGTGTGACTCGGAGTCGTACTCGAGTGCGCCATTGCAAGCGCGTAGGCTTGAGCAGCTTCATCTGTTTGGGTCGGAACAGAGGTAGCGGAGCTGGTGCTGTTACGTCCAGAACTACTGAGCTGACTGCCGCCGCGTTTGGCCGTGATGTGCCCACCTCTGGCGCCTCTTGAAGCCGAGGAAGCCGAGCTCCCACTACCGCCTGCCTGCTCAGCGTCTGTGCCAGTAATGCTGACCAACGTCGAGCCAGAAGCAGAGCGGTCATTTGCCGATAGCCAAGGGTTGTTGAAATCGGAAGGATGCTCTGCACTGATCTCACGGCGATGCTTTGGCGAGTCAGCGTGTTGGAAGTTTGGCGCAAGAGGGGGCCAAGCGCTCTGCCATGCAGTGCTGCCTGAGCCGGTGGGCAGATCGCCATCCGTCTGAACGCCCAGTCTGACTGATCGAGGAGATGTGGCAGCCGTAGTAAGCTCTCCATGAGATGGCCTGCTTGCTCCAGCGACCACTCGTGAAAAAAATTCATAGATAGCGGCTTGATTTCTTGAAGGTCGGCGATAATCACTCGTGGGCGAGTCGTACGAGCTTCTGCGTCGCGTATCGATCACACTTCCGGTGGGAGGTCGCGACCAAGAATTTGGACCATCTCTCTCAGTTCCGCGGAGATAATTTGAGGGCATGGCTCGCGTCGTTGTTTTTGGTGAGAGGTACGACGCTGCTCCAGGCAGTGCAGCCACGGCAGCGTCCGGCGTCGGTGCGGCACTTGCGTTGAGGCTGTTCGTCCCGGAATTCGATGCTCTTGCGTATCTCGTAGTCGAATCGATATCACGCATCGTTGCTTGAGCCGGGAGACCTGCCGGTGGGCCCCAGGGCGAAGGAAGCATCACGTCGCTGGGGGTCGCTGGCGTTGCCAAATCAGACTGCAACATTGAAGCATGGAGCATATATGTTTCTTCAGGTGTCGAGGGCTGAGACAATGACGAGAGGCCGTAGCCAGACCACCGCTCGGGCGACGGAGGAGGCTGGAAAGCACGCGCTTGATCTGGTCGTTCGGCCAAGCGATCGCTCGGATCAAACCGCACCAATGTTGTGCGGTGTGGAAAAGGCCCGCTTGACGGATCAACAACTTCGTGGCCTCCAATGGTCACGCCTCGTCGCCTCACAGAGTGAGCTAGAGATTGATGCTGAGAATGGAGCGCCGCGGGATCTTCCTCAGAGGGAATCCGAGGGTATGGTGCCGCAAGATCGCGGCCAGAAGTGGAGCGCATTGGGCGTGGACGGCTACGAGTAGGACCTGATTGGTGTATGGCTGGAGCGCCCATCGAACCGCTCGACGGCGGTAGCATGATGCCAAGCCGAGCAAGAGCTGCCAAACGCGACTCTTTAGCCTCCTTACCGAGTCTTTTGCGCTCACGAGTAGCAACATTCTCCTCCCTGCGCACAAAGGTGTGAATGTGAGCTCAACAAGCAATCAGGTGTGCGTGACAGGCTTCATCAATGGACGACTTACTCTGGAACAGCTTCGTAGACACAATCACGTCTGAGCCTTGTGCAAGTTGAGCAAGCTGGCTGTCCGCCATCGCACTTGATTTTGCTGCGAACGATAGGATTTGCGGTGATGACAGTACGAGGAGTCATCCAGAGTCAAGAGAGAGAGTTGGATGATAGGGATGGAGATGGTTGGTCGTCCGATTCGGTGGCAGTGCGTGTGTCGTCAGACCCGAAAGCGGATCGCGATTCCATATTGCGCAGCGGTCCAAAATCGGATCGGGGTTGCGGCGGTGGTGATCAAGGGAGGCGACGGCGGCGTGTCGTTACGGGCGCAGGTGATTGCATGGTTTCATTTAAAATTGCACAACGGCAAGAGATGGAAGCGAAGGTGAAGATCGCAGGGCAAGACAAGGGTCGAGGAAGTTCAAGTCAGTGTGAGACTCATGATAGGCAAACTGACGAGCGGCCTCACGCTCAGAGAACAGGCTGTGACTCACCGCTGTCGGCAATGCAGGCAGGCCATTGTGATTCTCCCTCTTTTCTTGACGTTGTCGCTGTCGGGCACCGCCGCCCGCAAAGAAGC